CTGGCTCCGGCGCACCCGGCCGCCCCCCTGGAGCGCACGAGGCCCAAGAAGCGTTGCTGGTGCTGCACTTTGGCCTCTGTCCCCCGCAGATGCTGAGATGAAGCGGTTATTGAGCATTACAAGAGCTCAGACTCATTGAGGGGGGGAATGTCTCACCGGTCCTTGGTGTCAAGATAATGAGGGCAGAGAGGTGGAAATGATCTACCTGGCTGAACCAAAAAGAACACACACGACAGAAGTGTTCATTCTGCAGCATTTGCTAAAGCTACAGACCAGCACCAGTGATGCGCACTGTAGAGGATTTTGTCTTCTCAGCTGCTTGCACCTTCCAGAACACCAAAATGCTGTGTCTCTACTCCAGTCAAAACACCAATGTAACTTTAGTCACAGAGCTTTAGATGTTTTTTTCTTCAAAAGAGAAAAACCTCAAACAAAACCATTATATACAACCACAAAGCACCAGAGCCTAAGCAGTGTTCCATGCAGAGTCCAGTTGTTTGTTCAGCAAGCCTGTTAGAGGCCTTGCACTGACAGCCTTCACAGCTGAAGTTCACTCTGAAAGCTTACCTTCCTTTCCCCCTCCCCAACTTTCTAGTGCTCACGGCTGTGATGAACCTTGCTGCAAAAAACAGCGAAGCTTCAAGCTCATCTTCCACTACCTTCTGGAGGCCTGAACACCCAGCCTCTCCAGCCCTCCTTTAACGCTCCAATCTCCTCTTCTGCAGCTGCTCCAGGGTTTCTTTTTTTCTTCTCTCCTTTCTTCAGACTAATTTGCTGGCAAGGTGTCTGATCTTCAGTTAGGCTAATTTAACTAATTGCAGGAGAAACAAACACCTGCTTCCTTTACTACTATTCTACCTTTAATCTTTTGAGTTTTACTTGACCTCTGTCTCAGCACCAGAAAGCTTCTCTACTTCTGGTGTTTGGTAGTGCTGTTTAAAGTTATCAGTTCTGTTAAACTGTGACCCTTCTTGCATTTTTTTTTAGCTATTGTCTATGGCAAGAAAGGCATGCTTCTTTCCCCTCAGGAAGGTGGTAGAATAGAAAAGGAAAATAATAGCTTTAATGCTGACGACTGCATGTGCTGTATGTTCTTATTCTTACTATTAAGGCTATATTGCAGATTTAAGGTATACTGCCCACCATTTCAGAATAGCAGTGTGACTTTGTGAGCCTAAATAAGTTTATAGGGCCAATAGGGGACTCTGTTTTTCAGCCTTGAGATTAAGACCAGCATGGTGTAAAGAAGCCTGTCAGAAGCTAGATGGAAAGCAAGTATCAGCGGACAAGAGATTCCAGCTCCAATATCACACAGAAGGGTGGATGTGAAGGATTTCACTTCTGCCCTTGTCTTCTCAAAACAAACAACTGCAGTATTTGATTTCACATTATGACACTTTTGTTCTACCTATGTCTATCTGACAGACTACTGAGAAACAACAAGCAGTACCAGCACTAATAAAGTTTTTATTTTTGGCACACTTGTTTTCAGCAGCTAGTTACATAATGGAGTACAGGGCAAGAACTCATAATTAGACAATAGGGGAAAGACACCCCACCCCACCCCCTCCAAAGAAAGCAACCTTCTGCTTTTCAGGTAACAACTACAAGAACATTGAGAGCATATCTTCTATTACTAAACCAGTATCTTCAAGCTTTACTTAGATGAAACCATGCACATTTATGTTTATACAGACAACTTGTCCAACTCCTGCTTCAACAGCTGGAACAGCATTAGTGCTTACTCCGTCCACATAGCCCATTCAGACTTGATAAACACTTCACCACAGAACTATTGTACCTGTTTACTTAAAGTTTAATCACTCCTTCCTTTTTCCTTCTAGGTTTTCAATACAACCAAGGCAAGTAGGATTCTTGCCACTTTTTTTCAGGCTCACTAACAACTGCCAGCAGTTAAGTTAAAACAAACAAACCAACCAGTCCACATTTGTTTTATGTAGTACCCTATGCTAGGATGTGCATGGATAGTGTGTGGTAGATATAACAAAGTCCCATAATATGCACAGATGCCCACCTCACATAGCCACTCTTCAGTAGTAGATTCTTTGCAGCTGTTAAGACACCTCACCCTCACACAGTGCCCCCTTCCCTCCTTCCATTACCATCTAACACCTAGTCATCATACTTAACTTACTAGCATTTATACCCATTGCCTAACACTCTCAACGACCTTGAGGTAGATGCTATTAGTCCCATTTTACAGAGGGGGAAACTGAGGCAGTAGCATTAATGGCTTGTCCAAAACTGCAACAATGGAGCCAGAATTAGAATCTGAGAGTTTCCACTTCAGTCTTGTAGGTGTGGTTTGGATGTATCTACAGTACCAAAATCATGGCAACAAGAAGCCACACCCCAGAATAACATCTTCTTTATTATTATTTCTGCAGACTCCAAGTCATATGCCAGCAGCAGTTTTTGCTTGATACCAAGAAATGAGAGATTCCAGATGAAACAGGATTAAGAAATGGTGCTAGAGAATAAGACAAAAAGCCAACCAGTCATCAATTCAGTTTAATACTATGAAAGTAAAAGAGAAAAAGACACTCTTCAGACCAAAAAGTATTAAAAAAAGGAAAAAAAAGAACAAGACTTATTTTGGAAATGTTTTAAGTTGACATTATGTTGGTTTTATTTCAGATTTCACAAAAGAAATACGTTATAAAACTAAAACCAGTTAACCCAGCCACTATCAACAGAGGGTGGTACAAGCAAAAGATACATCAGAACCTGCACTGAAAAGCCACCCATTCCTGTCACTGCAATGCTCCTGTACTAACAGGATACTTCACTGGGGGATGGAGAAGTGGGGTTTTACAGCAGTTCTGAGAGAGGCATATAATAGCTCCTCCGAGTTGGTGCTTTGTTGCTACCCAGGTCTCCTCTGTATCATAAGTGTAGCAAGGATTCACTGATTTCGGAAAGGACTGATCCAGCATAGCAAAGGCAGGAAATTTTTAAATTGAGTTTTATGCAAGTTTGCTTTAAAAAGGTACTACATCTTAAAATAACACCATTAAACTGATTACTTCGCTAACTTATGTGGGATCTCCAGTCTCATTACCAAGAGGAAAATGAATACAAAAGGCTTAAGCAAGCCCTGTGCTAAATAAAATATACAGGGGCTTTGGGTAGATGCTTGTATGTTTGCCTGAGCTTTGGTTATGGAGAGCAGAGAGAAGAGGATTTGTTCAGGTATTGCTGAAGAATTCCGTTTCCCCCCTGTTCCAAATGTCTGGCTGGGTGGTGAGACTGGAGGTGGGAGGGAATAAGGTAAAGCAATAGTCTTAATGCTTTACTAAGGTTCTAATACAACAGAGCACAGAACCTTGCACGAATACAAAAGTACCTGTCTAGGGACAGCTTTGCCTGTTTTTATCATGCCAAAATTGATACTGTTCTATACAGTGGCATCTGTCAAACCATCCACCCTTCCTTCCTACCCACCTCTCCACAAAAGAGTGGATGATGGCAAGAACCCTCCCTTCCACCTTTTCCTTTCTGAACAGGGCAGGGCAGTGGGAGAAAAAGGAAAAAAAGAACACAAACAAAAGAGACCAGACTGTTCCAAAGATGCACTTTGGTTTAACAAATGGGCAACTTTCCCTTGCAGAATAAACCTTCCCCTCCAAAATGGGATGTTTCTTTTCTCCTATAACCCACGATAAATTAAAACCAAGTAACAAGTCTCTGGTTTGACACAATAAATACTTAGAATATATCAAATTAAAAAAATATAGTTACAAAAGCCTCAATGGAATTCTCTTTCTGACCTAACTACAGACAGATTCTTCACAGACAAAAATGTATCTCCGAAATCCGCTGCAGCTCCTCTCCCTGCTCACTGGGCTTGGTCAACAAGTGCTATCACATACCCTTTGGAATACTGTTAAGACAAAACAATATAGAGCACAAGAAATCTACTCCTAAATTTGTTTTTCATACTGCCAAGGGTGTAGGAAGCAACCATCAGTGGGGAACCCTTACAGCAGTGCACAGTGACAGAGTCACTGCACTAGAGCAACACAGACAGGGATACTAGGGGAAAACAATGCATAGGAAGGGAAGGAGGAGAGAGAACCCATAGAATTTGGGGAAAGAAAAGATGAGCAAGAAAGAGAAAAACACTAATCAAGTTCAGCTGGACTTTCCAGTTCTGGCAGCAGAGCAGATGAGATGTTGAACAACAGGAAGAGTTCCTTGGGGTCTGTAATAACAAGGAATGTCGTTGGCATTTTCTTCACCATTCGCAGTAAGTAAGCAGAAGTTAACCCTCTCTGACACTGACACGTGGCTCTGCCAGTGAGCTGTGGATGATCCCAATAATTGATTCAACGCCATCTCCCTCCAGTAAGGTGCGGTGATCCCCTTCAATAATATGGACAGATACTTTCCCATCGCATACCTGCACAGACAGGAAAAAGAAAAGCTCTACATTCACAATTTACAAGCAGCTGGTAATCTAGCTGTTTTGGGTTTGTCAGTCTTCTAATTTGCTCAGTCTACACCACTGCCTCTATCAAATTCTGTTGAAAACAGCACCAGTTTGACACATTTTCATAGACTAGCTGCAGGCCATTGTTTGGAACCAATGTTTTAAGTCACAACAGTTTGACAGTCTGGCAGGTGATCCACTCAAATATAAGATGGGCAGGAAGCTGACCAACCTGATACTAACAGAATAATTTACCTACAAGATCAAAGAAAAAGTAGCGACTTCCAAGCCCTTAAGAAAACTGAATAACCCTCCCCACCTAATCTTTCTCCCACCACCACGAATCTTCCTTCAACACCATTATGTAACCTTAGTAACATACAGGTTAGCCTGGAATCAATAATCAGTATAAGTTAGAAGTCTGAAGAGATAGGAGATGCCAGAAGCAGGAAGGTAATTCTGAAAATCACTTCCTTTTCTGTGGTACCTGTACCATAATGTAAGATACTTCACCCTTTCACACAAACAGGGGCTAAAGAACAGTGACCTTATCCGGACTAGAGGCTGAAAATCTAATTTTTTTAGGTCCACACTCCAAGAGGTCCAGAAAACATAACTAAGAAAGAGACGTCTCTATTGTCAGAAGGCTGACACTTGCTTTCCAAAAGCCTGCCCTCATGCAGTGGACATACTTTAGGGATCTACAGCGAAAGAAGGAGACTAGAAGTTACTTCTGTCAAGTTATTCCCTTTTAACATCTTTATTATCTAAAGTCTAGATAGAGAGCTGCAAGAATTAGCTGTAGAAAATACTTACTTATGCAATATAGAGGCTAAACCTTCTCCTGACCCTCATTACCCTGAAAAAATGCCTGGAACCAACCAACTAATTTGCTTTTGGGGACTTTTAATTCTTGTTAGAGCATGATAGCTGCAGAACAATCACTTTTTTCAGGTTGGTTTCATCCCTTCTCCCTCAGTAAGGATGATTTTCCATGCTTTTCTTTTGCTCCCCCAAATATCAGGAGAACCTCAGCAGTCACCAGTGGGCCTCAGACTGACCTCTGAGAGTCTGTAGTCTCCACCCAGACCTTCTTCATATTCATTGTGAGACTTTGCCCGCATCAGTGTCACATTTCCATGATACTTGGACTCTGGTATATACTTGTCAGCAGCCTTCAGTTTATGGTAAAAAGAAGCAGCAGCAAAGCTGAGTGCTTCACGATTGATGTTGGTATGAATCTGAGTTATCAGGTCTGCAGCAGCGTTCACACGAGCCTCCAGACCTTTCAGGGGCAGAAGAACCTCCAGCAGCTGGAAATATTAAATTTTTTCCCCATTAGTCGCAGTATCTGAGAAACCGTCTCCATTAAACAAAAAACCCACAACCCTTCTGTGCAACATAAGGAGATATATATGTAAAACCAAAAAAGAAACATTACCTTATTATATTCAATGCCTGTAAATTGCTGAACAAAGGCACACAATGCTTCAGTCTCCAATGCAGCCTCATTTCCTTGGGTCAACTTGGCTCTGTAGCTCTGGAAAAGAATAAAATGCAAACGTGAGAGGAATATGACTGATCTTGAATGTTAGATAAAAACAATTACAGAACAAATGGCTTTGAACTGGGGAAAAAGGGAGAGGGGGGAAAAAAGAAAGAAAAAGGATAGACTGAAGGTTGAGGTGTGGTGGGAGAGGAAGATCCTTTGAGGACAGATTAGGAAGCAAATCCACAGGTGGCAATTGACAAGAGCCTAGTATCCCTTAGACTGGATATAAGGAAGAAATTTTTTACAATGAGGGTGGTGAAACACTGGCACAGGTTGCCCAGAGAGGTAGTGGAGGCCCTGTCCCTGGAAACACTGAAGGCCAGGCTGGACAGGGCTCTGAGCAACCTGATCTGGCTGAAGATATCCCTGCTCACTGCAGGGCGGTTGGGTTAGATGACCTCTAAAGGTCCCTTCCAGCCCAAAGGACTCTATGATCCTATAGAAAGTACAATGAAAACGGAAAGGAAGGCTTAAGCAAGGTGCCCTGGCACCCCTACAGGAAGCTTTTGCCATGCAGGCTCCAGCACTTTCCAGAAGACTAATATGATTTACCATAGCAAGAGCAACATTTGTGTCCCAGCTCTTGCCAGTTAATGAAGATCACCCTCCATATGCTGCCACCCTTCAGGCATCCCTAAGCATCCACTCTCTACAGCTGTCTCCCAGCGACCTGGTGAAGAAAAATCTGTCTGCTTTTCAGATGGCTCATATCTGCAATAGCAAGCTCCCAGAACATGAGCCCTGATGGGGCTCCTGATCCACACAGGATGGTCCCCAGACAGAAGATTTTCTTTGTATCTTACCTGAGTGTATGCTGCCACAAATGAATGAGACCCATCAAAGAGGAACAGACTGTTGAGTGCATGGGAAGCATTTTGTTGTGCTTGCAGTTGGGAGCACATTTCAAAGGCTACACAGGCACCGAATGAATATCCAGCAATGCGGTAAGGTCCTTCAGGCTGTATCTGCTTCATACAGTCAATGTAATAGGCTGCCAGGCTCTGTATACTGTCCAAAGGAGCAGCTAGAACATGGAATTGAGTTAGAAACAAGACTCCAGTGAAGAGACACTGGCAGAAACAGTTACATTTTCATGAGCTTAGACAACCCTGTCGGAAACATCCAGGCTATTTTGAAGTAAAGTTTCTGAACTGTAGTTAGCAACTTACATTTTAGACAAGGAATAGTAATGTTCCTGCTTTCCAAAGACAGGTAGAACAGCATGCCTCATTTTTCTCCTGCATGCTTATCTGCTGGTAGGGACTCAACGCAACATTGAATTGTTCCATTTCCCCCCTACATAAGCTCTTCAATCTAACCTAATAGTTCTTGTTACCTCGGGATGTCTGAGACGACCCTATACAGACTATAGGTACTGACACGTGATCCTTCGAGTTTTAGAGTCTAGAAAACAAAGCTCTCTATAAGGCAACTAAAATTCAGAATGTTATGTTTACAAATTCAAGATGCTGAAGAACTGAGATACCTTTTGTGCACTGGAGCCCATAGCAGGGCATGTGAAGTCTGGAGGCAAGAGTGTAGAAAACTGCAATGGATCCTTCAATGGGGTGAACAAGGAAAAGAGGGCGCTCTGTGCTCTGAACATCATTGAGACGGGTGATCGTTGGCCCTTCTGGGTTCACCAACAAGTTGTTCAAATCTAGTTTTGGAGGTTCACTCGGGCCCGTCTTCATCAGTTGGGATGGCTTCAGCTCTTTGAAGGGAAGCAAACCAGACAAACACAGTTAGATTTAAGATCAGTCTTGGTCATGTAGCCATAGTCCTAAAGGAGAATCTCAGGGCTGCTCTGGATTAGCCCATTGGCTCACTAAATCATCAGGGCAAAGACATACGGACCTTCTTGTTGTAAATTGCTCTGCAGCAAGTGAACGTGCTTTTAGCTTACAGTAAGCATGACATTACGTTGTTTATTCCTCAGACAGGTAAAAGGTCTCAAATTCCATCCTGCACACAGCTGCAATAAGAGTACCCACACCGGCAGATACTAGCCAGACAAGACGACAGCTTTCACGCTCTTTCTTATACCCTGCCCCCAGAAGTGATGGACCTGACCCAATGGTCAATGTACTTCAGTGACGTGTCTGTCACTTAAAAGGCTTTCAGCTATAACCTTATTTCATGATCTTAGTCCATGATTTGATAGAGGCTTATGTCACTAGAAATGAAAGCAATGGATTGGGAGCTTAATTGTTTGGACTCGGGTGACTGGCAGCAACCCTGATCCAGACACTATACCCTCTGCTGTCCCGGACTTGGAAGAAAGTTCACGCAGTTTGTTGATTGTAAGGAGTCGAATTTCTCTCATGGTCATAACGATGTCATAGTCCCTCTCCAGTGTCTGGCGCACCTCCACACCCATCAAGGAATCCAAGCCCAAGTCTGCCAAGGAACTCTCAGCATTCAGACTACTGACGTCACGGACACCTGAGAAAAAAAAACAGCATACTAACAAAAGGCCGATTTCTTCTCAGCTTCCTTCTTTCTCCTAAGACCTGAACAAACTGCAGCTACAGAGAATTACTTTTCAGTATCATCTAATGCTTTCACAAGTCACCTCTTCTACAACCCACATCTGGTCATTTGGGTTACAGTCTTTAGAGTACATTTTAAATGTGCACAGCTTTATAACAGGGGATACATCAGTTCCAGCTAAATACCTGTGAATACTGTCACTTCAGCTCTAGATCAAGTTCAGAACAGTCAGCTAGAGGAATCTCACATACTGGAGGCTCAAACAAACTGCAGTCCTAGACCCAACACAACTAATCCTCAGCTATAACATGAGATGAAACAGTTATCAGTGTCAATGATGGCTGATTGGAACACTTGATGTCTGTCACATTGGAGCAGGAGGCAATTCCTCTAGTTTTCATTGCCTCTTCCCCTTCCATTTTCACACTGTTTGAGACTCTCACCCTTTCCTTACCTGTAAAAGGCTTCTCATAGTAACACTTGCACCTACAGCTCTTCCTCCCCTTCTCCACCTTGTGCTGCCCCATGTTACCACCCATCCCACAATTATGCTTCTTACTAGCTTCTCCCTTTGTTGTATACATACACTATCTCTTTCCAGACTAACCCTACAGCTGGTACAGTTTCCCAAAGGCTTTCCTACGACTTCTAAAGACCATGTTTGTTCTCTGAGGTCAGATTTGCTGTCAGTTACTGCACACAATTCCTTAAGTGATACTCAGGAGACTGTCTGATTTATCAGTATCTCTTTTGGTAGAAAACAAAGGATCAGTACACACTTCTGTCTGCAAAAGAGACAACTCAAGTGGGACATAGTGGAGTTGACAGAGATTATTCACTTTCGACATAGGAACAGGGGACACAACGGTAAAAGGAAGCAGGTTCAAAACAGGCAGGAGGACGTAGCACTTCTTGTAATGCATAGTTAAGCTATAGTTACCAGATTTTCACGTGGGATGACAGACAGCACTGATAAGAGATACAATACCAGTTAGTCACTAAGTACATAAAAGCTACTTTTTGCAGCATGAGTACATCCCGAGGTGAATGTTTGAAAGGTGGAATAGTACACAGAAAGTTAGTCATGTATCTGCCCTATTATGTGCTGACCCAGAATTTTGCTCTTAGGGGCTGTTCCTGTTGATTCTCCATTTGGAGAAAGGCACCAGTCCACTCTAAACAAAACCCAAGAGACTGAAGAGCATTTATATACACACACACAGGAAGGGAGAAAAGCCCACACTGAAGAAACAAATTGATTATTGGAGAGAAGGAGCAACATAAAGGAAAAAAATACACAAACAAATAGTCCCACAGCAACATCACCACACCCACACCACAGCAAATCAGCAGGAGATGCTGAACAGAACATCTACAGCAGCACCACTGCATTGAGATGGCAGACACTGCCCAGCACTGCTTATCCGAGAGCACTTACCCAGGATGTGAGCAACAGCTTCTACAAGATCCCGTTGACTGCCTCCTTCAGTTTTTACAGAGACCTTCTCTGCTAGGACAAAACTTGACATGACAGGATGAGGCTGATTCAGAAAGGTATCAAGCACCTCCAGGCATGAGCTGATTTGCTGGGGAATGGTTCCCCCAACCACAACCTCTCTGTTTCCCATTGTCTTCAAAAGGATACCCACATCACCAATGGCTCCCCATTGGATTGCCAGGCCTGGAGGAGAAAGCAGAAGAAATAACACACTAGACTAGCTAAAGTACATGGCAGCAACGAAAGGCAGTTAAAAAACAGCTAAGCAAAGGCCTGCACTTCCTTTGTACTGTTAAATGGCCAGTGTTCATTCACGCATCAATGACTCAGGGTAACAGATGGGAGAGGAAACAGCCTTCAACATTCATTACCGTTCCAGACAAGTGCAGAAGTTTCTGGTGAGCTGGTTCTTGTGTGGATGTTTGGTGGGATATATTATTCTGTCCAATGAGTAAAGTCATCTTACCTGGGAACCCATCATGATGTCGCTGCTCACAGATACGCTCCATAGCAGAATTGGCGAAGCCATAATTACTTTGTCCAGCATTTCCTCTTCCACAGCTTACAGATGAGAACACAACAAAATAGTCCAGGTCTGGACACTTCTTACGAGTCACCCTTGGAACAGAGCAGGAGAGAGAAACACCATGAGAAAAACCTGCTAACTATATGTTACTGTGGTAGGCTAGAGCAATACTAAAACAACTAAGTTTGATCAGCTCTGTGACTATAAAAGCAGTTCATACTTGTCCCTTCTACAGACACTTACCAATCCAAATGAAGGGTGCCCAAATACTTGGGCTTGTTGACCTCCCAGAAGAATTTTGGGGTCTGATTTTCAATCATGCCATCTCTAAGGACCTGTTGGGGAGCAGGGGGTGGGGAAAGCAAAGAAAAAAGGTACAGTTTCAGTATCTGCAGTTTCTCCATATTAATTTGCTATGTGGCTTGAGATATAAGAGGATATCGCACAACACATTTTTGTAGCTTTGATACAGAGGTATCCTGAACGTCCTGAAATATGACATAGATAACATGGCTTTTGGCAAGTCTGCTTTTTTCAGTACTGCCGCTGCAGCCCTCAACTGACAAGTTCCATATGTGATTTTTCTTGTCCCCAGGGATTTTGGGCAACATTTGTGTTATAAGAACTGAGCTTACTGGCCAAATACTGTTACTTCCCAGGTGAAGGGGCCAGACCTGTAAGCCTTTAGTCACCAAGTAAAGCCAAAGCAAAGCATCCTCTGAAACAGAGAGGCAATCTAAAACTCTTATAAAGCCTGACCCCACCCAGTAAAAAAGCCACTTGAATGGCTGCTGTCTCTTACAAGTCTTCAGCATTTTAAGATTCAACAAGGGTGAGTGTAAGGTCCTGTATCTGGGGAGCAATAGCCCCACGCACCAGTAAAGGCTAGGGGCGGACCTGCTGGAGAGAGGCTCTGCAGAGAGGGACCTGGTGAGCAATAAGTTAACCATGAGCCAGCAGTGTGCCCTGGCTGCCAAGAAGGCCAATGGGATCCTGAGGTACATTAAGAAGAGAGCATGGCTGGCAGGTCGAGGGAGGTTCTCCTCCCCCTCTGCCCTAGTGAGGCCCCATCTGCAGTACTCTGTCCAGTTTTGGGCTCCCCAGTTCAAGAAAGATGAGGAGCTACTGGAGAGAGTCTAGCGGAGGGCTACAAGGATGAGGGGACTAAAGCATCTGTCCTGTGAGGAAAGGCTGAGGGAGCTGGGCTTGCTCAACCTGAAGAAGAGCATGCTAAGAGGGGATCTTATAAATGCTTATAAATATCTCAAGGGTGGGTGTCAGGAGGATGGGGCCAGACTCTTTTCAGTGGTGCCCAGTGACAGGACCTGCTGTAGGAGACCCTGCTTCGGCAGGAAGGTTGGACTAGATGACCCACAGATGTCCCTTCCAAACCCTACCATTCTGTGATTTTTGTCACTTACCACAGCCAAATTAAAGATGCCTCCAACTGGGCCGAACTGCAAAGCTTCTTCTATCAACAGCTGTGTTCCGTCTAGCCTGGTAGCCTACAAAAAAAAAAAGTGAACAGTGCCTGGGATAAAGCATTCAAACCACAAGGCTTTGGTTAACCTGCCCCTTGCACTTTTCTGACTATATAGACTGAGTAGCTAAGTAATTCCTGATTCAGCTACAAGAGGAAGATTGGAAAAAACTTGAATAGTAGATATAAGTCACTTGAGTTTCAGAAATATTCCAAATAGATCAAAGTGGAGATCAGAATCAGGAGAACGTACTGGGGCGGGGGTGTGGGGGTGTGGAAGTGCAACAGCGAAGGCAAATTAACAAGAATTTGGATACTGAGACAAGAAAGAATGGCTAGATTAGAGCAAGGCAACAGATTCTAGCAGCGCAACCAGAACTTGAGAAGTAGAAGTATCTGATCTATTTGCTTGTACAAGTGGTGCAATTGTGAACCTGCCAATAGAAAGAAGAAATCTGTATAGACAGAGAGAAGTTTTGTTATGACTGAATTTTTATGAGGAAACAGACTACCACTGATAAGAAATCTCACTGCTGCAACTGTAACAAAACTAATGGCTTAAAACTGAGTAAAAATGCTTGCTGATGTTATCAGATAGTAGGGCGCATCTTTACAGATGAGCTATCTGAAGGAGCAAGAGCAAGCATCCACACATATAACTTGAGGGACAGAGTATCTTTAGTGAGAAGTTTATAGGCCTTTCCTTGTGGCATGTGATCCACAATGCTGCAGCCAGGAAAAAAGCCAGTCCAGGTAGCTGGATACAGACTTTGTAGGTGGGGTAAAGGTAAAAAGTAAGGCTGCAGAAAAAATCCTGGGTAAGCGAGAAAATTGGTTGATAGAATCTGGAAGCATAAAGATGAGGAAGGTCATATTTGGAAAAGAGGTAAAGTTAAAAGATACTTCCTCCTTTAGAATAAAGGGGACAACAGCTTGTTTCAAGTGAGAGAATACACACATGAGAGGAAAGAAAATAGACAAGACATTATTATTTGCTGATAGGACACCTAAAAATAGAGAGCAACTACAAAGAGAGGTCTGTTGAAAGGCATGTTCACTGCTCCTTTACAGTTTTTGCTTACCAGTTCGTATGCCAGAACGAGATGTCAGTATAAGCTTCTGTGCTCCTCTCTCAATTAGCCACTGTGCCAACTCAAGTCCAAATCCTCCTAGGCCCCCTGTGATGATGTAAGACTTGGTAGCTGGACAGGACGTTCGGGAGACGGCAGAGATTTTAACTGGTTCTGACCTTCTTAAAGGGTACTCCTTTTCCTCTTCTTGGACCTTCCACCCCGCAAAAAAAAGGAAAAAAAGAAAAAAGAAGTTGAGATTAGATACACAATGCATTTCTTACCTTTCATGTTATGCTCCTTCAGTCAAGGGGAATGAACCTTGTAGAATCAGTGACAGACTTGACAGTTACGTTCATTACAGTGTCAGCAGCAGAAAACACAACCCTGTGCTTAGTTATACAACTTCAGCTTGAACTGGATCAAAATATCCAACAGTCACCTACAGAGAATGACAGATGCATCAGAGAACCAAAGCCATTATCTCTACCTTGATCATAACTTTGCCAATATGTTTTCCTTGTGCCATGAATCTGAAGGCAGCTTCTACCTCTTCTTTGTTGAAGACCGTACTCCTCAGGGGCTTTACCACGCCATCTTTTATACCTTTCTTCAACAACTCTGATACTGCTTCCCACTCTTGGTTTCCCTCCTCAAAGATTGCATCTAGTAGGATCCCATGAAATGCCACATTCTTGAGGAACAGAGCCATTCCTAGAAGAAGCAACTTGGTTATGACCCGATGCTGCTGACACTTCAAAACAGAGTCTATCTTCTATTTCAGAAACACTCCCGTGTAGGTCAGCAGTGCAAGACTGCTGAGTAAAGCAGTCATTTGTTGCTAGAATTCTACATTTTCCAAACTAATTAATGCATATACTCTCTAAATGGTATATTAATTAGGTTGTTCTCTTACAAGCAGATCAGTTTAACAGAAACTCCACCCAAAAATTCCAAGTCAAGAGGACCAGCTATAACATGGCTGGTCTGCTATTAAAAAGCACATTCTCTGTCTAGTGACAGCTGAGTTACGAGACACAGGGAAGCCAGAATCCCATGTACATCCAGTCCATCTTCACAGGAAACTCTTCCTCATAGAAAGTTATCCATGATGCTATGATTAGTTGAAATTTAATTAGAATAAGAAAGGAGACCGTCAACATTTGCTATATGCAATCATTCTACAACAGGAGAACATTCTTGTCATTTTTCACTAACACATCAGATTATAACATTCAAATTTATTTTCCCCATCTGAAAGAAATCAGGTTAATCTTGCCCCAGTGCTATCAAAAACTGGGAGATGCTGCTGACTCTTGAGGGGCAAGAGGCCTTGCAGAGGGGTCTGGATAGACCAGAACATCGGGCAATCATCAACGACACAAAACTGCAGCTTATACAGCCATGAAATTAATTTGTCGAGTTTTACAGTGCACTCCTCTATTACAAATGGACAGGTTACATGCCCAAAAGTTTGTAAGTCAAGTCCAACAGATCTATGCCATCTACAAGCTAACAGATACAGTGGTGAATAGTGCCACGTGAAACAAATACTGCTTCTTTGTTACCTTCCTATCCAAACACTTTGTGGGCAACATGTCCTATAATGACTTTAAAGAAAGACTTTGAGGAAGACAACTTTATTATTCTGCATGTTTTATGCAGGCTTCCAGAAAAATGCTGACTGCCACGATTCTCCAAGAAGGTATTTGTTGAAAGGACCACATAAATTCATAGTGTCAAAAGTGAAACAAGTATTCCAGCTAAAAGCTTTTCTAAATTGGAAGAGTAGTCTGTGTTAAGATAGTATATAGGTTGTGCTCTCATGCTTGCTGAAACCTAATGAGATGTATTTCCCCAATGCCCCATCTTACCAAGCTGACTGTTGTTAGACAGATCAAATTTGCCTATTTCCAAAAAGCGCCCATGTCGAGCAAGACAACGCAAACTGGCTTGGAGCTTCTCTTCTGCCAAGGAATTCAACACGAGGTTGACACCTGCAATGAAAGAAGCAGCAGCTGTTTAATAAACTCAACTCTGCTGAAAGCCTAACCCTGTTTTCTAGTGACTCATTTTGTCTTTAGCAAGTGCAACTGCATAATATGGCAGAGCTGACAAAAAGAAGTGTTCCTTGCACTTACCTTTTCCATTGGTAACTCGCAGTATATGTTGCTCAAAGGTAGTATTTCGGGAGCTGGCAAAGCTATTAGCATCCAGCTGTGGGAATCTTGCTTGGAGATACTCGCGTTTCTCAGTGGAGCCTGGAAGTACAAGACAGGTTGAATGATACCAGTGCTCTTACATTAATTTTTTTTTATGATGAAACAGCCCATTTTCATCTGCACGTCTTCTTCCAAGGACTGTAAGTCTGAGCAGCCATCAAGCACTTGCTTCAACACTCTCAGGCTCTCAAGGCATCAAACCTTAGGACAAAGGCTGTCTAGTTGTTACCACTCATTCAGGAGCTAGAGCAAGGACCAGACACAGACCAAACCTTACAATGGATAGACATTCTTTGATAACATTACTGAATTTAAAATGAAGAAGCCTTAATCATCTTCTGTACTTTTGACTATATAGTGTAAAGAGGTAGATAAATTTGTCTGCGCTGTGGAAGTTTCTGGCACATAGTCAGTGGCTGTATTCACCATGTATCCCATTCTCAGTCTAGAAACTAAATCAAAGTTACACGAGACCATACTGGGGAGAAAAATATATGCATAAATATGCATTTTTGTATATAAACATATGTGCACATGCACACACACTTCCTCTATTACAGAATCACAGAATGTTATGGGTTGGAAGGGACCTCTGTGGGTCATCTAGTCCAACCCCCCTGCTGAAGCAGGGTCACCTACAGCAGGCTGCGCAGGGCCTTGTCCAGGTGGGTCTTGAGAGGAGACTCTACAACCTCCCTGGGCAACCTGTTCCAGTGCTCCATCACCCTCAGAGGGAAGAAGTTCTTCCTCATCTTCAGCTGGAACTTCCTCTGCTTCAGTTTGTGCCCAGTGCCCCTTGTCCTGTCGCTGGGCACCACTGAAAAGAGTCTGGCCCTG